TTTAGACTTGTTTGAAAGTACAGAATCTGAAAGCATAATACACATTATATAATGATCTGGTTCCCTCATGATTTATGTATCAATAGCTCATGAATTGTTCATGATCATGTAGCAGTTTCCAAACAAGTTTTGAGTTTACAAATGAAACTGTTTTAGCAAACAGTCTCTACTAAATCATTTTGTTTCATTTCTCGATGGAAATGTTGGTAACTTTCCAAAATGTAAAACAAACAATTCAAAATTCTGTTTCTCTTTTCTAAAATTTTGTAGTTACTGTAACAAAATTTCTGAAGTGTTTGTCTTGCTTATATACTGCATGTTAATGCTATTCACTATGTCATCTTAGTTTACTGAAACGCAATCAACTTAAGAGAATTCTTATTTGAATATAGCCTTAAATCACAATATAACCATTTTTAGCATTTTCTAATATTGTTTTGGTGTATTTTAATAATACACTTGTGATGTGTTACACTTATTTCTCCACACAACATACTCATACAAACTTAACATTAGCAAAAAGAAGTATTATAAAACAGGATTACAGAATAAGTGTGCGCAAGGAGGCCAAAATAAGTTTGAAATCAAATTTTAGCCATGACCATTAGTTTAAATTATAAAAAATAAGTCAAAAAAATAAAGATCCGATGTTGGCATAAAGTAGAGATGAACGTTTAATACAATTTCTCAGATCTTTCTTGCCATCACGTTTAAAATTGCCAACAATTTCTTTCAACTTACCCTAGCAATCAAAATTGCTTTATACTGAATTGGTGATCGTTGTAACGCTGTTGTGATGTGGCATTTGATTACATTTATGCAAATACAGATGTGTTTTGTTATCAATGCTGTATGTTTTTGTGGCATTCACTATCTTATTTGAACTGCTCTTGAATTAGAAGTAGGCACTTATTTTGTCACATTGAAATGGCTGTTTAACCCAATACCAAGCAAAAGAAGTTGTAACCTGTTTGCACCTAAATCTGAAATATGGTGTGAGCACAGCTCATAATCAATACAAGTGGGGGTACAGTAAGCTTGGCTGACTGCCTTAAGCAAACCCTTACAACTCTCTTTAAATTATTGTAAGCAAGCCAGAAGGAATGTGGGTGAAATTGACATAATTGTCATGTAAATAATAGTTAATTTTTAGCAACAAAAAAAAAAAAAAAAAAACCCAAAAAGCAAGCCTCATTATTGTACATGATAACTGAGATACTGTATCAACTCATAAAACAATCTAAGGTATTATATCATTATGTTAATGATAGGTTGTTGCAGATTGGTGACTGATTTGAGTTTCTTTTTCTTTTTGTAGTCGACTTCAAAGTTATGCAAACAACTTCTTTGGTGTCGGAGACGATTGTCAAGAAGATAGTAAACGATGGGAGCGGCGGCGCTCCCGTCACTTGAGCCGCCGGCACGGAGGTTTAAAAAAGGACGTTGAAGAGAGAATGGAAGAAGCTGAGATGGAGTCTATAATGGGTCTGGTCCCTCATGTTGTTGATCCATTTGGTATGCATGGCCTGATTTGTCATTGACATTTTGAAAACAAGCCCAACCAGCCAATCAAACAACTTCTATCTATATCTTCTATCAGCCTTACTCACAATTAGTTTACGCACATCTGCAGTACTGTATGACATTATTAAGAATTAGGCCTATGATTATTAATTATTATAGGGATTCCCATATGTGCTCAGATAGAACAGCTACCACTGTATCTGAGAACATACTGTAAGCTACGATTCAATCTGAGCACATGTGGGAATCAGATAGAAACAGGACTACTGTATGGTATCCTGCTTCAGATAGAAACAGAAAGCTCGCATGTAATAATCCTAGGTGCTTTTTAGTCTGGCAACTTGGGGTCCGTTTGAGCGAAAATAGCCAACTTTTGTTTATTTCACCAGTTAATCGCGCCAAGCACTCAGCGGGTGGTCGACCATTCGAGCAAGTCTTGGCTCATGTTAAATTTCAACTTATCCTATGGTCAACAACCCATTCTTTGTTTACTTTCTACTGCGGCTATAACAGGCTCACGTAGGCACAACGCGGCATGTGAAAACTAAAGTTGAGCTCAACTTATAAACGCTGCTTTAAAATTTGTACCTGGGCTAGTTTATTCAACATTATTTCTCCAAATAATGCTATTAGCCACCTTTATGGTCCCAATGATGTGATGTTATGCTGAAGGATCTGTAACCCTATTGAATTTTCGCTCGCTGGACTGTGGACAAATGATTTGGGAAAAAAATTGTTGCCTCCGTATCCATGGACGTTCCATTCACGGTATTCTACCCAGCAATTCGGTGGTCAGAATTGTCATGGATAATCCAGATGGTAAGGTAATTAGGCTAGTGTCCGAGTGCTTTTAGAAAGTGTGTACCGGTGAATTAACTGGTAAATCGCACAGATATTTTTTTCGCTCGAACGGGCCCTAGGTAGTTTAGTAAGTGGCTGCCAGAACCTGGCTAAATTTATTATAAACCAGGATGTTCGTCCTTTGCTAGTTGTATAGTAGGTCTGATCGGGGGTCTGAAATGAAACAACAATTTCACCATGATTAATACAGATAGATTTCTGATCTTTGCAATTTAACTGATGTAATAACTTATTCCTTTTAGAGTGGTTTAGCTTGTGGTAGTTATTATACTGTACTTGCCTTCTAGTCCCAGGGTCTTGGGTTCAATTCCTGTGACTGTAGAAATTTTTCTCACAACTAAAAACAACTCCAAAACCTAAGCCTATAAAAGGACTTGGTTTATAAAGTATCTTTTCATCCTGAAAGTTGCTTAAATTAGAAAGTAGAAACAAATTATTTTTTCTTATAAATTTAGTAGGAACATATGTACAATGTATTCATCACCACCATGAATAATGCGATGAAATGCACCTTCACACACCTACACACACACACACCCACACATACATTTAAGTGCAGACAGAACAATGTGCAGCAAAACCTGTCCATGTGCAGCTTACAGATGTGCAATTTACACATTATTATACATAGTACTGTGTACACAATATGTAAGTGAAGTTTACACATGTGTGACCATTCATTATTAAATTAATTTACACATCATGCTATGTGTGTGCTGTTTACAAATATTACAAGATTTTTCATGTAGATAGGTTTACTTATGTGCAGTTTACACACAAATTTTGTCACTATCTGACAATGGTGTCTTTAGAAAACAATATAGGTGGTTGACAGCAAAAATACTTAAATTAAATTTGGTTTTTTTCCTAATAATATGGTATAAATATATTTTTTATTTATATTTTATAATTAACAAAACATGCACACTATCCAATTCAATTTCAATTTATTGTCCAAAAGTGGAAATGCAGAGCGGAAACAATTCATTGCATATTAAAATTGTACATACAGTAATAAATATAAAATACTGTATACCAATATTAACCCTTTCCATCATAGAATTCAGAATTTATGTGGTGAATGTTTATTCATTGTCCAAACTGATATGTACAGTACTTAATGATATACGATGCTTAATATATTATGTGACACTATATAAACATTCATTATTGTTTATAATAGCAAGTCTACCATCATATTCATCATGAGATAAATTATTCTGTTTATACACTGTTGCTTTCTAAATCATCAAGTTTCCTATGTTCACGATTAAAGATTCCAGAGATGTAGTTGCCATGGTGAGCGGGGGAAGATGGGGGATACCCTGTTTTCTACCCTGTCTAAACCTAATTTCATGACCCTTCACACACATTCATTAAACCCACATGCTCATTCCTGCCTACCTCCCACCCTTTGTTTTATGAATTCCTTGTTTTCTACAGTTACAAACCTGAGTTCCATTCTTCATCTCCTTCGTATGGTGTCCTTTGTTTTGATTTTACCTAATTAATTTTAAGAATTCTTTCTTTCAGTTAAATGCTTTCAATGTTCTGACTGCTATATTCTTGGCTGTTGTTAGACTGTAAGCAATGTCGGTGCAGTTGTCTGTATTTGACTGGTAATATTTCAAACATAATCTAAAAAAATATTGACAGACAAAATAATGTGAAGTCAGAATGACAGTCAAATTTATAATTCAGACAAAAAAAAAATACTCAACAAAAATTCTACCCAAAAAAACATACCAGTTTATTAGGCCTACAGGTTATCAGTTGGCTTATTCTCAGAATGGAAATACAGCATGTTGGATTGGAGCATGATGTTGCATGTGATCTTTCTGTGATCTCACATTGATCTTACATGAGCTTGGATTGATCTCGCATGAATTGCATTTGGATCTTTTGTAAAACCAGTGGGTTGCGTTGGGTACCCTCCAAACGTTTGAAGAAAAAAATCTTGTTTAAGTAAGGTAGACATATATCACCTCGTATCACCTTATTTTGCAGGCTAGTGCTCCCTCATTTAATCATTGATCCCCTACCCCCGTCCCTCGCTTCACCCTAGCATCCCTCAATCAGCCTCCCTCCTTTGTAAAACCAGAAATATATTTAAATAAATTGATAAAAACACATTATTTTTTATTAACGAAGATTCAGTAATAGTTGTTTTTGTTTAGTTTTATTTTTCAAGTAAAGTAAAAAGAAATTACACACAAAATCATCAGGGGAAGCTACAATTGATCACACAGTATAGTTCCTCCCAAGAGGCAGTTGTCCCTGAATTTAATTTGCATATATATAACAATTATATAGTCATTGGCCCATTGGTTTAGCCTAAAAGCAACAAGTTGAGAAGTGACTTAAATCAGTTGCTATGAGAATAGTTCATCGAGTCACATTGGAAAACATGGACTCAACATTAATACCACTTTGCAGGTCAGTTGAGTGGATGTAACGTAGATTTAATTAAAGGAAATTTACGATATGGATGGGTGGAAGTTAAAGAGAGGATGCACTTCAACAAGTATAGTAAGTAGCCCAGGACAGTGCGATTGACGTTAGCGTAGGACAGTGAGGTAGGCTCTAGAAACCTAGTATGTAACACTTTTTGCCTACTAATTTATTAGTGGTTGCAATTAGGCCTAGCAAGGATTTTATCACGTACAGATTATGTCTGTAAATGTCCCATTATTTAGTGACTACAAAATTTTGGTGAGTACATTTTTAGTGGATTTTACAAACCAAAAACCATAGGAAATTAGTTCTAATACTTTAAATCTCTGTGTATTTTAAAATTTATTTTAATTTTATTAACTGTAATGAGGGTAGTTTGTGCAACATCTACCTTCCTTCATAATGTAAAATAATGATTCTTGGATAGAGACCTTCAAAATCGATCATAAATGCAACTCTTCGGTAATTATGCAATATTAGTTATAGAAAGTATCATCCACTTTGCCATCATCCAAGCATTGCCCCATGTAATAACCACTTCCCGAAATCCAGATTATGCCAAGAACTATATCCCCAGGTATGACGTAGAGAAGTAATTCAAGGTAATGTATATTAACTCGCTGAGTGAACATGATGTACTTCTAGAATATTGGCCGGTGAAGATGATTTCAGTTTAATGTGACAAAGCCAACAGATCCATAACCGTGACAACCACTAGATGAATTCCATCTGCAATTGGAGCAGTCAACAGTGCATGTACTGTACATGCTAACAGACCCTGGCAATTGCATTTCTATGTAAAATGTTTTTTACAATGACAGTAAAATATACTGAACTGAAATACTACAAATGATGAAATACTTAACCAGATTTGATGGAATATTTTTGGGTATAATTAAAGTACTCCGTGAGAATAATGCTGATTCCATGGGAACAATTATGGAGTGTTTTCTACCCTTCATGAATAATGGAGTACTCTCTCATAGTAATAGGGTACTCCTTGGGATAATGGAGTAACTCCTTGGGATAATGGAGTAACTCCTTGGGATAATGGAGTATTACTGTACTTTCTTGCTTGGAGTAATGGGATATTCCTTGTGAATAATGGATTATTCTTTACTCTCCCGGAATTTTTAAGTATTCTCGTGGAGTAATGGAGTACTTCTTGAGAATAACATAGAAAACTCAGGTAACTGAATATTCCATTGGTATCTGTTCCAAAGACCACTGGGGTAATAATAAGTTGCGTGTTAGGTACTCTTGACAATGCTGTTTCATACTTTATTTCATAGGAAGTATAGCGGAAAGAGTATAATTTTATAGTAATAGTTTCCTGTTTAAAATAAAGCATTACTATAGAGATGTGTATAAGAGACAGTTTCTACCCTTCATGAATAATGGAGTACTCTCTCATAGTAATAGGGTACTCCTTGGGATAATGGAGTAACTCCTTGGGATAATGGAGTAACTCCTTGGGATAATGGAGTATTACTGTACTTTCTTGCTTGGAGTAATGGGATATTCCTTGTGAATAATGGATTATTCTTTACTCTCCCGGAATTTTTAAGTATTCTCGTGGAGTAATGGAGTACTTCTTGAGAATAACATAGAAAACTCAGGTAACTGAATATTCCATTGGTATCTGTTCCAAAGACCACTGGGGTAATAATAAGTTGCGTGTTAGGTACTCTTGACAATGCTGTTTCATACTTTATTTCATAGGAAGTATAGCGGAAAGAGTATAATTTTATAGTAATAGTTTCCTGTTTAAAACAATGCCTAAAATTGTGTATCTGTCTCAGAGAGGATTATATGTTCAATATTTAATTGGGTACTTTCCTAATGTTAAAAGATTAGATAATTAAAAATGCTACTGTATGATCAAATGCAATTTCAAGAGAGGTAATTTACTTCACAATACTAAATTCAGTAAATGACCTTTTGCAAATTATGGACTATTTACAGACAGTAAGTATTAATGTATTTTTAAAGGATTATTTGAATTGTAATTTCGTGGAAGGAAGACTTTTAAGTAATGAATTTTGAAGGAAGGGAGTGTAAGGGTCATCTAGGGTTAATATTGACCTTGGCTCTATCATTGGATGAATCATATGAGAGGTTTTAGTTGAGAGAAGTACTGTAGTAGGATCAAATCCTAGGAGCATCCAATAAATATTGGCAAAAATATTTTATCAAAGTAATGATAATAATTTATTAATTTATATTGCAAAATAAACAAACAATAACATAATAAAACCAAAACCAAACCAAACAATTGTTAGTTTTATAGGTTTATTTAACTTTCTTTTTTTTAATGTTTTGTGAATTTGTGCTTAAAAATGTCGTTTTTATAAATTAATTCAAGAAAAATAAACAAATATAAAAAATGAATAATTATCCTCATCCACTTTCAGTCTTGCAAGATGCAATCCTGTGGCAGTAATGATCCCATAGTGGGACTTGTGGCCACGTACCGCAACAAAGACAAATATAATAATGGCGTTTTATGATATAATGTGTACATTGCGAAAAATATGAATTTCATTATCAATTAATTTTGATTATGAAAAAATGATAATAGTGACAGTAAAGTATTAACTATATTCTAGCCTAGTTCTACTTTGGCATGGTATGCATGGCATTGCAATGTGTATTGCAATGTGTTTGTGTATTGCAAATTTAACCTTTACTAAATAAAATAAATATGGATCTGTGTTAACTTTTTACTCAAACATAAAAATACTTTATTATTGATTGACTATTTAACATATTATTTTATTAATATTATTTATTAACCTAAATTTAAGAATACATGACACATGATAAATAGATACTAGTAATAATAAAAAACAATAATATTTTTTTTTTATAATTGTCCATGCCAACTCTGATGCCAAAATTGGAGACTCCTATTAAACCTTTCATAGAATACATCAATTAAAAAATTAATTAAGCATTTATTTTGAGGTTTCCATATTTGGATTGCTTTGAGTCAAAAACACATGGAACATGATTTTGTTTGGATGTTGAACATGGCACTTGCCCCACATGGAACACATGTTAACAATTAGATGTTAATTTTGCAGACTGAACTGCAAACCTACTGTCTGCTTTCTGCTTTAATCACTGCACACACGAAGTTAATTCTTAGGAAGCATTGCAAGTTTTTTTTTCTCTGCATTTTGGATGTTTGTCACAATTGCTCTGTTTATACGGAAGTGTTAATAATAGGTGCACTTGTGCCTAGGAGAGCTTGTTCTCGCTAGCCAGCTTAACTCGCTTTTTTGCTACAGCTTCTGGGAAGAAAGGCAAAGGCCCTGTGCGTTATCAAGCTTTGAGAAAATGGAACGAAGTGAAAAGTAAAGGTGAGGGCCTAGGAATATTTGCATGCATCTCTTTGCAGGAGTTGCGGTATGGATTGTGTAGGTCATGTGATTAATACCTCAGCGGAACTTTCTTGTCAGATCATATTGTGATGGAGGATGTTGAGAATTACTTGCCACTATGGGGTGTGGACTTAAAGACAACATTCTCAGCGAGGAAATAATTGAGAAAAAGCAAAAAACCAACAATAATAATGTAAAATGTCATAAGCAATGTGGACCTCATACCTTTGTGTTATGTGCAAAATGCTAAATATATTAATATAGGCCTATATATATATATATAGAGATTAAAAGGCAAAATATTGGAAAACAACAATGCTGTGGGAAACAATGGCTGGATCTCAGTAGAGATACAAAAATGATAAGCAACAGCTAAAAAGTAAACGTAAGTAAACAGCCAGAAATAGAACCAGAGCTTTCGGACAACACTAGTCCTTCCTCAGTGGCGAGTGAGTGAGGGTAGAAAAAGCTAGATGGTATAAAGTGAGAATTTCATGCAAGCATGATTGGAAACAATAGGCTGGGTGAGATTAGAATAAATAGCCTAAACAAGTAAACAGGAAGGCCAAAACTATACTTTAGAGGCAAGCCTCAATAAATAGGCCAAATGATTTATCCAGAATAAATTGAAATGCCATTGGTTTAATTTAGTGTACTGGTAACGTTCCTAATATTGAGTCCAAATGGTGTGGTTGTTTTAAGTAAAAGTTCCCAGTGATTCTCTTTATCTTTGCGATTTTTGTCGCTCCAACTGGCATTATGGTCAATTGCAATCATTCTGAAATTTGGGGTAAACATTTTCTTTAAAAAAGAAAGCAAAATCTGAATTTTACAAGAAAAAAATTTAATATATTAATTTTGAATAATTAGAATTGTAGATGTGTATAAGAGACAGATATTTGTGTATGTGTGTGTGTGTGTTTTGTATTGAAAAACAACCTAGCCTTGAAAACTCGCTGCCAATTTCCACACACTCGAATAATTATGAAACAAAAATGTCAACAAGAAACCTAGGTGGATATGATTGTTACACAGTATTTTCAGTATATATTGGAACTCACTTTAGGAAAAGTGGCACAACACAACAAAATTAAAATGAAATACAAAGCTTATAACAAAAATTGATTGGCGAGAATAGAAAAAAAAATTACAGAGAACACAAAGTTTCAAATACCTTTTTTATGAAACTGAAGCCTAAATGTTGGGAGTTGTTTCAAATGTCACTGTTCTATTAATTTATTTTCCATTATTCATCTCTGAAAACATACAGTACTCCCATAGTAATGAGGCATGAATATTCATATTATGATGTTTATATTCGACCAATCAGCATTTAGATTACATTCCATCACGTTTCACATGTCATCATTGTGTTAGACAAGTCTTTATAATTCTGCTCATATTTTAAAGTAGTATAGAGAATTTTATCTTGTAAGAAATTCTATTAATTCATTCCTTCATTCATTCATTCATCCATTCTTTCATTCATTCATTCACTCATACACTCCTTCATTCATTTATTCATTCATTCATTATTTATTAATGCATTCATTCACTCTCGTTTATTCTTTTATTCATTCATTTATTCATTCACTCACTCATTCTTTGCTTCACTCGCTCATTCATTCAATCATTCATTGCATCATTATTTAATGTTGCACACTGCAACATACTGAAGGCTTTGCTTATATGTTGAAGGTTTTGTTCGTTCGTTCAGTCATTTATTTATTTTTTTTCACTTATTTATCTATAGTATACATTAGTTCATTCTTTTACTTATCTTCCTGTTCACCTTCTATCACCCATTTATTTTTTCATCCATCAATTAATTATTTATCAATTTATATTCATTCTTCATATAGTTTAGTTTAGTTCATATTTTTATATAGCGCCTGTTCCTTTAGGTTACAATGCGCTTTTTTTTTCCCGTGGTCAAAAGTCCACATGCTAAGTGTTGCTGCTGGTAATCAGTACAGTAGCAGGCAACTCCACCAGGTACCCATTTATACCCTGGGTGGAGAGAAGCAATGTAGATAGAGTGCCTTGCTCATGTACACAAGCAAAATGTACAGCGTGGGATTGAAACCCAACCTTGAGGTTGGGAAACCAAACCATTCCTGCTGCGCCCAACTACTTCCTTTCATTAATTTATTTGATTATTCTTTCATTCATTTATTTAGTACTATTATATTTATTTCATTTTGTAATTTTTATTGTCTTTACATGTATACATTTTGAATATTTTGTCAGACGTATTTTTATCAAGCATTGTTGATAAGCAGTGTGTATTGTGTTACATTTTGTACAGCCAAGCCCAGGGCAAAAGGAGACGAAATTGATGGAGCACGCCGAGCTTACCAGAGTTCACAGGCCCATTCTGTTGCCACGACAACCGGCACATCTAGTACGTACAAGAGAGCTTTATCACGACAGTTATCTCGGCAGAGGAGTAAACGACAGTCAGTAGCTAAAATGGGATGGGACGCACTTAAGTCAACTCTTGGAGTAAGTTATTATTACAGTAAGGTAACATTCTTATCCTTAAAACTTTCAAATGCCTCATCCTTGTATACGTGGTGTAAATGTAAGCATCCCAAGCTATTCATTTTGATTGGTTGTGACGTAGATTCAGGATTTATATTGTAATTTTACTTTGCATTTTGATTTCTATAAGGGGTAAACATTTTCTTTAAAAAAGAAAGCAAAATCTGAATTTTACAAGAAAAAAATTTAATATATTAATTTTGAATAATTAGAATTGTCACATATTTATTAAATTTAATTTTCTATTGCAGCGCCCTCAACCAAAGACGAGTAGATCTCAGGACACGCTGGTGCACCAACGTCCGCCCATGATTCATAGTCGTAGCTTTGCACCAGCCAATACTATGATGGACGAAATAGATGATTCAGATATGGATTTTTCTTTTTTTTCTCCAACATTTGTAAGTAATTCCCCATTTTAAAAATTAAATTCACAATATAGGTCAGGTTTGGGCCGGTTTAAAAGTTATTTATTGTTTACACGTGAAAAAAGGTGGCCCTGAGGCAGTCCTGAGCCGATGCAACTTGAGGTGTGATAGGGCTCTAAAAAGCAATGTATACATTTTATAATAAAGAATAATCCTCCATTTCTTTTGAATCAAGAAAAACATTAAAATGGCTTTATTATGTGACACCTAAGCATGTTTTAGGAAACAGATGTTTTCTGTTTTTCAGTAGAATGTGTGACTTGATTTTTATTTTATTGGATTACACAATTTACTGGAAAATAATATTGTATAATAAAAAAATTGTGATTGTGAATACAAAATGTATATTGAAAACACATTACTTTTTTTTTTATAAAGATGTCTCTATATGATTATTTTTTTAATGGAAAAGTGAAAAATCTATTTTACATATCATAAAAAGAATATTGAATATTAAATTACCCTTGTTTTTTTTTAAATTGGTTTATAATCAGTATAAAGGATTTTTTTTATTTTTTGGTATTTTTTATTTTGAAAAAAATGAATTTAGAAACATTAAAATAAATATTGACATGAAATGTTTATTATTTCCACCAAACAATATCAATCATTAGAATCATTCATCGTGAGAGTGTACTACCATTAAATGGAAAACCCATTTGAATGCTTATTGGCTAGCTTGGTTATTTCATGCAGGGGAGTATAAAACATGTCAAAAACTCACTGCCTATAGCCTCTAAAAGACTATCAAATTTTAATTGATAAAAAACTGTTGTATAACCAATAGTATTGTTTAGAGGGGGGCCGGCCTCTTTTGGATAGTCAAAAAAAAAAAGAGAAAGAAAAAAATTATCGCCTAAAAGACCTCAGAGGTTATTTTTGGGTGTCCAGAATACAGAAACCCCCTAGGGTATTGTTATCTGGATCGGCCCCACTTTCGGCCCCTTCCAGCTCCCCCCTTTTTTAGACGTCTCTGGATCCGCCTCTGCTGATGTGCCTATATATGGCCATGATGTGATGTCATCATTTCCATATTTAGGTATGTCACATGTTTTTGTCAAATAAAATGTGATAGTCTCGACAGGCCTTAAAAGTTCTGGCATTCTTCCATAAGAGCTGCTTTCAACTGCTCATCAGGGTTTGCTCTGTCAACTTCCTATACTTATACTTATGCATTGTTATTGGCTGGGCTTTGTAGCTCTTACATCCTTTGGCTTCCACCCCCAAAGTTAAAAATAGATACCTCACTTACAAAGTAATCACAGAATTCAAACTACATAAACATTTTCTCAATTTATTAAGTAACAAATTAAATTTTTATCAGTGGTTTAAAATATTATAAAAATTAAATGACATAAGTGCGCATTAAAAACGGATAAATGATTTATAAATTTTTAATGAGATGGAGATTTAAATAATTGACATTTCACTGATGTACATTTCTTTAATTGATTACCAACCAAGAATATAAGAATGACAAAATATTATTATAATAAAATATTATTATAATTTTGACATTTTATGCAACAAATTAAAAAAAAAAATTAGTTATAAATAATAAATTTATAATGCCGACTCCCTCCAATTAAAGGCCACTTTCTCGGACTGGAGTTTCTATTGTCTTTAGGAGCTTTGATCTCTATTTAGAACAATAAGGATAAAAGACATATTGTTAATTTGGAACCACAGAAAAGTGGTTTTTAATTGGAGGTGAATCCATATTTGGAGGGGGTCTTAAATTACAGAGAGACATGTATAAGTTAAAAAATTGACTTTCATTATTTGTTTCCTGTTTTTTATTTTAATTTTTAGATTTAATTTTTTAGTTTCAAAGTGCATATTCTCAAATTCCATATATGACAAACATAGAGCATGTATTATAATAGTATTTACACTTACAGAGCAATCTGATCAATAGCTATAAAAATATATTGTACACAGGAACCCTAAAGATATAATAACAATGTTGTATAATAAAATATAAAAAATAAAGATAAATTTCATATTAAATTTATAAATTTGAACTAAAAAAATTCAAATAAATCAAAAAAAGATAAGTACATAAATGATATTAAATAACTATATTATATAAATTTAAAATAAATTTAATAAGATAAGAATGCATATTAAATAAATGTATTTTAAATAAGTAGATGAATATTATATCATATAAGTAAATTATATACCATGTTGGCTAAATTTCTCTCCACAGTATCTAATTTTCGTTGACAAAAACTGCTGTATGCCCGTATATAGTCATGATGTGTCTATATATGGTCATGATGTGATGTCATCATAATCATATTTTAGGGATTTCACATGTTTCAAATAAAATTTAAAAGTCTGCTTAATACTTAAATTTGAGTGTGAATTGTCAGCAGTGTATTGCAATAGGAAGTGATTGGCTGGCAAAATTATTTGCACATTTTCTAGATTGAGATTTCATACTTCTCTTGATACTCATCAAGTCATTTTCTGATAACTCGCACGCTTCATTTTGTGGCTCATAAATTTGTGTCATAATTTCAACCATTAGTAAATTAAAGGTTCCGTGTATGTATATGCCAAGGGGCACAGGGAAGAACATTTTAACAATATGATGTGGTATGTTGGTGGAAATGTAATATGTGTTTGTGGGTATGCTAATAGAAAGTATTTTGGTAGGTACATTGTGGGCTTTTGAATGATGTTTTTTGGGTATGTTGTAGGTGCAAGTTGAAGAATTTGCTCATGGGTGTTGGTAGATGTGCTTCTGGGTGTGTTGTAGGATGTGCTTCGGGGTGTGTTGGGGTGTGGATAATTTTTATGGAAATTCATAAAAATCTGAGAGGGTCATACTGGAACTTTTTTGAAATTTGGTTGATTTGACACGGAATGACCCAACAAACAGCATATAGATTGGATTACTGGCATACTATTTATTTTCAAGTGTTGTATAAAATAAATAATAGTTCTCCCTTAAAAATGATATTTAACCTCAATTTCTAATTACAGGCACTCTCTCATCCTCCCACATGGTTTTTGTCTTATGTGGATTGCTGTAATTTGTTTTGATTTTGGAGACCTTAATTGGGAACTTAAAATGTTGCATGAATTACTTGAAAATGTATCAGTAATTTTAAAAATACATTTACAAATATTTTGATATTGTAATTTAAGCAAAGAATTGTATATGTATGGGAAACAAGTTATTGATGAATGGTGGATGATTCTCCTGGATTCTTAATTAATTTTTCCCTTTGCTTATTTTTTTACCCATTTGGATCTCTTCCAGTTTGTTCTATTCTATAGATTGTATTGACTCCCTGTCCTACACCTGATACCCTAACTTTTCTATAATAACAATGACTTTGTTGTATCTGATCACTAAAAATGTCTTTACACTTGATTTTGCTACTGTTCATTAAACTCAATGAATAATGCTTAATGTAGATAAATATAAGGAAACTGTGGCAGATTTGGGGATGGGGGTGATGCGGGTCTTGCAATGTTTTACCAATATTAATTTTTTAAAAGTAATATTAAAATAATTTATAGTTTTATGATTATATTATTGTCATAATTAATATTAAACCTAGTAAAAGTATAATTTAGTTTCTAATTTTTTCACTTAAATAAATAATGTTAACCTAGCTGGTGTATAGTTTGATGTATTATTTTATTTATAAACTTAAAAGTCTGAGTATAATAAATTAGCTGCTGTATATATAATTTATATAAAAAATTAAGTACAGATACCTCCCTGTTTAAGGTATTGCATTAACAAGCTTTTACATCAAAGGTATTATGTTTACTCATGAACCAGGCAAATAAATCTACCCACAATGCACTGCTTTTTCTACTTGATCTGTTTTGCTTCATATTTCATTTTATTTCTCCTTCGCATGCCTCACTTTTTCCATCCATTCACCATTCACTCATTGCAGATGTCCCCAATGTCCGAGGATAGGTATGATGATGTGTTCTTTGACTTTTCACCAAAGGCTGAACGAAGAAATATGCCCCTACCCTCGAGGCCCTCCCAATCACCGATTAAGCAGTCCAGCGATGCCTCCAGCTTGCCCAATCTCCCTGGCATGGAAACGCTTTCCAACCAAGGTAATTGGATTTTTTTTTAAACAATACTGGCCCATTAAAAATCAAGAAAACATGTTATAAAAATTTTACAGAAATGAAATAAAATTTGAATTTTAAAAACATTATCTTAAGATTAAAAAAAAACAGAAAGTTCAAATATTAGAATTTTTACTCTGAAAGTTTAAGGATGTATGGTCTATTCAAAGACTGAAGTTGTGTTATTTTTAAAAAGTCCTTTATTTAAAAATTTACTTAAATTGTTGAGAACAGGTTTTTGTCTTGTTCAAATTGTCAAAGCTAATTAACTTATTGAAATATGCAAATTAAGCAATTACATTTTTAAGTATGATATGTTAGATATTCTTACAGTATATTATTATTATTATTATTATTATAATGATTGTGGTTATATTAATCCATTGGTAAAATTGTTCTTTTGTCTTACCACAATGCTCTGCCAACATATTTGTTGCCAAACCTCTTTTCTTCCAGCTCTTTAGTGAAATAATAATTTCCACTCCTTCCTCCATTTTGCCTTTGTTTGGTTTTACTCTGTTTCATTTAACCCTGTTACGTAGTCAAAAATTCCATGAGTTAAATAGGATTTAGAGTTGATGTGTAGTTATGTTATAATGTGTAGTTATGTTTAATAGATTGTTTAAAAAAATATTTTTACCGATATAAAGCCCATAATATGTTAATTGCAATAATGTATATATCATTATGTTTACTAAAATCTTTATTTTTAACTTCTCTTTTCAATATGATGTCTTTGCTGCAGCTGGTAAGATCAAAGATGCAGTTAAGAAAGTTCATAAGAGAGGAAAACATAAAATGAAAGATTCTGCGTCATCTGAACAAATGGATGATGAACCACTGATGGGCAACATGACTGTACCTAGTCCTGGTGCGGGGGACAAAATGGACAAATCAAAAGCCGCTGCATTTAGTCAAATGATGTAGGTTTATCATCAATCAATCCAATCAATTATTCTATCATCAATCAGTTAATTAGTCAATTAATATACTAAAACAATAAGTTACATTTTGTTGTGTGTGATTTTTACAATTTATATATTTATTTGTATCATAATTAATATAATAAATACCTTGGCATTGTAATGATACAATAAATGGATGATGAAATGTTGATGGGAAATAGGCCTGCACCTAGTCCCGGTCTGGTTGATAAAATGGAGCCAAAGGAATCAATTCAATAAGACCCTTATTTTCTTCCATTACAGACAAAATACAGAGTGTCAAAAGACGTATGTTGATTATTTTCTTAATTAATTTGCTAAAACAATAACTTACATTTTCTTGTTAGTAATTTTTACAATTTATTTATTTGTATCATAAGTAATATAATAACATACATGGTATTGTAATTAATAGAATAACAGCCATGGAACTTATCGTATGTGAACAAAAGACGTATGTTGATTATTTTCTTAATTAAATTGCTAAAACAATAACTTATATTTTCTTTGTTAGTGATTTTTACAATTTATTTCTTTGTATCATAAGTAATATAATAACATACATGGTATTGTAATTAATAGAATAACAGCCATGGAACTTATCGTATGTGAACAAAAGACGTATGTTGATTATTTTCTTAATTAATTTGCTAAAACAATAACTTACATTTTCTTTGTTAGTGATTTTTACAATTTATTTCTTTGTATCATAAGTAATATAATAACATACATGGTATTGTAATTAATAGAATAACAGCCATGGAACTTATCGTATGTGAAACTTCAGTTTTATTTGAGTCAATTTTTGTCGTTATGTTACTATACTTATGCAGATTCAAGGGGCACTGTGGCACATTCTTCACAAATTCATGAACATTTTTTAAAATGGAGGAAAATCTTTAATATCAAAATAATTCAAATGTTCAAGTTTAAGTATAAGAGTGCCATTTTAGGCCATTTTAAGTTGCTATGACAATAAAATTATGTTTCTCACCCCAAACCATGGTGGGATTAAGGTGGTTTATAGCACCTGTTTGTAAAAGTCCCTTTCTGCGCCCTCTCTATTTTAACTTCCTGCATGCCTAATTGCTACATATTTACATTGCAGGCCTACAGGTATAGGATGGAGAAAAAAGAAGGAAGACCGTTTTGACCCACCGCTGTACAAAAGTCCACCCCCAGAAGTTGAAATGGACCTTACAGATTCTGCACGGCCGCAGAAAGACATACCTGGAAGACGGAATAAAATTGCCGAGAAAGTAATGGCAGCGGCGTTCAATCATTCGGAGCGACGTCAGATCGGTAAAGGATTAGTGGGCCGCATTTTGAATAGAAGCTATCGTAAACAAAGGCTGGACAGTGAGGTCAAAGAGCAACTAGAAAGTATTGAAGATCATAGGTAAGGTCAGGTCAATTGCTATAGCCTTTGCCTGTAATCTTCTTAATTATTGGCTAATATTAAAGGTCAATCTCATCAATTTCACAGGTCTCACAGATCTCACAGATCTCACATTCTCAAAGGCTGACATTATAGGCTAAACAGGTCAATCTCATATTGTTGATCCATATTTCGATTTCACAGGCCGTTCTCAAATGCAGATCTCACAGAACGTTGTCAAATGCAGGTCCCATAAGCCATTGTCAAATGTAGGTCTCATAAGTCATTCTCAAATGTAGATCTCACAGGCCAAAAAAGCTATTGTCATAGGCTGACACAATATTATAGTTCATTCTCATAAGAAATCCTCACAGATCAATATCACATTACAAGCTAATATCACATATGTGGCAAAGACAAGCCAAACCAGTCACTCGTCGCAAATCATGTTTCATAGAAAATGGCCAAAACATGCTGGAATGTCAAATTTTAAAAAATCTATTTTATTGCACTAAACTAATCTTTACATATCTATACGTCATTCTATGCTGTTATTTTCCCCATTTTCAATGTTAAAACAACACTTTTTAAGGATTTGATGATAGTTTCTGCATGAGTAATGCCTGAAATCATAAACTTGAAGGCTCATTTCTCATATAATATTGTTCTTTAAACAGCTGTATGTTTAAATGCTTGTAACTTCATAAGGAGATGTCCGATTTGAAAGATTTTTTTACCATTTTATAGCTATTATTTTACTCTCTAACACTGTATTAATAACTCAAAATCGATTTTTGCGACGAGTGACTGGTTTGGCTTGTCTTTGCCACATATTATCTCATAGATCAATCTATGATATCACAAAATATCTCACATGGGCCTTATTTTATACTGGTCATGAAATTTAACTCTCATTCTTTTATTTTTAATTTTTTAAAGTTATTTTTTTTTTCAGGTTATACCTATTTATGTATTGCCTTTTTTTATGTAAGCCTTTCAACAGTATATATAACTTGTATATTTGCATGCTTTTTCTTTATACAGGCCTTATTTTACATACTGGTTAACAACGGTCCATGTTGTCATATTAATAATATCGCTTGTCTTCTATGGGTTTGCACCAATAGGGTTTACATATACACAGAGAAGAGATTTGGTGAGTGAATAATATGCATTATGTATGCAAATTACATATAATTTATTCGTGCATAATATTTATGGCTAGTCTTATATAGATTTTGCATCAATTGGATTCAAGTATAGAACCACATATATTTGGTGAGTTACATATATTAACAACTAGCACATTGTTCTGAATATGGCTTGAGAGCCAAGTTTTACTTACTGGTGGGAAATGAATGTGTGACCGGATACGGACTGGAATGGATACATGAATATGTGACCGGCTGCAAAACCTGCCATTTGTACGAAAAAATTCAAAATTGAGTTTTTTGGAATGTTTTCATTCTGCATGTATTCATCTTTAAAACTGTTTATTTTGTTGAGTATTAGCAAAGTTATGAATATCTAATTCATTTGATATCAGCCATGTAGGTTTTGAGAAAACAACTTTCAAAAACTCTGAAATCAATAGTTTATTGTTAGGATTTTTATTTTTAAAATAATTTTAATATACTTTTCAGAGATTTATTGATTGATATTTTGCAGAAATGTTTTTCAATATATCTTCCTTTATAAAAATGCAAAAACCTTAAAATAAAAAACCCAAATGTTCAAAATTCTGATTCTCAAACATTTTGGGTGCTTGTGCAAAATTTAAAAATTGCGAAAAACGGCGGGTTTTACCTGAGCCAGTCACTTAGGCCTAAAAAAAAATAGTTAGGTTGGCATAACCCGAACTACCCTAAAAAATAGACCGTAGATATTTTCATTCAAATTTCATGATACAAGTTTACGTGAGCAAAGTGGGCATGGTTGGGTGTCACTCAAAATGTTTCAAAAGTGGTCCAAGGGTGAAAAGTATTACAATTAGAAGGCTTAAAAACTTTTTTAATTGATTTTATAGATTTCAAGGCCTTTGCTGAATATTGCAGCAGTAAAAAAAAAAAAAATCCCTACCACCTCCTATTTTTATCCAACTAGGCCTACTCAGTATTTTTGAAATATAATAATATAGTGCTTCTTTGACTTTTTTCTCTATGTATAGGCCTAAGAATGAGATAAAATTACCATGACCTTTTTCAAGAGGGGGAAAACCTTGAATTTTGAGGAACTTAAAAGTCATTAAAAGACACCGTTAGAAGTCTGGAAAGCTCATTTCTGGCCATCTAGGAAAAAAAATTTTCCCAGGGGAGGACCTCCTTTTCAATTTGGGGTTTTTTGGAAACATTTTGAACCCCCCACTTCCAGATCCTTAATCCGCCCCTAATAGTAGATCTACTATATGTGGTTTTTGATTTTTTTTTTGTCAGGTTTTACAAGCAAATTTAGTTGTAGAAACTGTTGGTTACATGGAGCCAGACAATTTTTGGATTGGTCCGCGACCGGTGAGTAAATTGATCTCTGTCAGTGTCAGCCATTACTTGTGATCATTATTTGTGGTTTGCTTAATAATATTAATATACAGTTCCTAAAATTCATAAATACATATACAGTATAATAAACTTTTACTTTTCTTATCAAAAATTGTTCCTTTCAAATCATATTTTTAATTGTGAGCCTTGAATGGTATCTTCAGGTAAAATTCTAGACAGCTTTACTTGGGTTTATCATGCAAAGAAACTGTCACTGGAATTTTTTTTAGGACCTAACAGAAGTTAAGTGCCACTGATAACTTTCAATTTTCACTGTTAATGTTAAGTGGCGTATCCAGGGTTTATAAAGGGATTTGGGGGGTGGGGGGGTGTTTAAAATCTTTTGTATAAAAAAAGGATAAAACTTAAAATGTACAAATGGATGGAACAAGAAATGTGGAATAAAATTCGCTGTAAATATATTTAAAAAATATATGATTTGAAAAGATCAATTTTTGATAAGAAAAGTAAGAGTTTATTATTATTTCTGAAGTATTTTTCAGAAACATCCTCCTTATTTTTTTAATTCCATTAATTTAATTATGATGAATATATATCCTTGTGTCTACTAGGCTGATCTTATACATCTTGGTGCCAAGTATTCCCCATGCATGCATCGAGATGAACAAGTTTATGTACTTTTAGCAGATATCCGAAAGGAAGAAAATAATACCGGTTGTTGCATCCGTACAGACAATGCAGGATGCGTACAAACGAATATTGAGGAATGTTCAGTAAGTATCAATACATTATTTGTAAATAAATCTTATCTAAAGGCCAACTGCGATGTTGCCTGAAAGTTAACCAACAAAATCATCACTTTTAACTTTATACTTAATCAAGTGGAAAGATGTTTCCAGATATCTGTTTTAAGAAAGTGTACTAAGAGGGGGAACGGTTTGCTTTTCTGACCTTGAGGTCGGGGTTTCAATTCCTCGCTCTGCATTTTGTTAGGTGTCCATCAGCAAGGCACTTTATCTGCATTGCTTCTCTCTACCTATGCTCCTGCACAGATTACCAACAGCAACACTTAGCATGTGGACCCAATGACCAGGAAAAGAACTGCACTTTATAACCTCAAGGAAGAGGCACATTTTAAATGCCCGTACCAGTACCAAAGGGAACAGTTTGTTTTACCTAAGCCTGACAGACCCAAAATTTTAAAATCTATGGTTTTAATTTTTTTTTTTTTTCAAATATAAATTTGTTAAACAGTTAATTAACATTTAATTTTTTACAGACAAGTTTTGCAACTTTTGCAAAATGGTCAATAAAGCGAGATAGTCCAAGCAATAGAAGAACCTCAGGTCCAGTCTGTGGTCAAGATTATAGGTAAGTTAAGCATGTGATATGCCTAAATATGGTCATGATGACATTACATCATGACCATATTTAGGTACATCATGACTATATAGATAGGCATACATTTTTTTGTCTAACAAAATTTTGTAGTCTGGATATTGTATTATTCAGTTCTACTGATATGTTAAGTTGTATTGTCAAAGCCTATGTTATCTGATGGTCTGTTCCACTGACATAGCTTAGTCATTGGAGATAGCTGGTAATTCGTATCCGGTGCCCCTGTTAAGGTATGGATTCTGGGTGCAAATCTCTTTTGCGTATTTTGTATCTTTGATGTACATCTTGGGGTGCATACATGTTGTGTGCTCCCCAACAGCTCTACCTATCATGTGTTTTTACTGTGTTCTATATTGGATATAGCAATGATCCTGGTTGTTGCTCCTGTTTGATTGTCCCACTTGTATGATTGCCCACCTGGAGTGATAATGTGACTAAGTAAGGTTCAATGGAGGGATTTAGCGATGATTGTTTACAACTTAGGTATACATGAAAAACATTACAGTGCGATAGCATAGGAAAAGATAATGTTATGGTTGCGAAAACAACTACCCACTTTTAACGTGACAAATAAATGGCTAGGAAAGGCAATACTATTGTTCGAAATAGTGATTATTTACTTATCTTAGCGTTCTCCTTGGATTTTATGCTTTGAAATTTAAGTGATCCTTCATAAACCTTAGCTGGCCCTAACATTGCAGAATAGTTTGCAGGTCAAAGACCATCATGCATACCTAACCATGCCGTAGATGTGCAGGGGCCATAGGCCTAACATTTGTCAAAAAATCATAATGTTTGCGGCCAGTACCCTTTACAGCATTAGAAAAAAATTAAGCAAAATTCTGAAGTTCAATTTCCAATCAATTTGGTATAGTTTACAGGGAATTATGATGATCTTTACAACAATAAACAAGGGACGGCCACGATAAAAATGGCCAAAATCCCAGAGGTTAAACCAGATGTGATATCCTGGAAAGAAAATCATGTAGGTGGCCCATCCAGGAACCCAAGTGAACCAGATGGCCCATTAAGAAACTCAAATCAACCAGATAGCCCATCCAGAAAGTGAAACCAACCAGGTGGCCTATCCAGGGCTTAATATGGTTTAATATAGGTATACATCTACAGTAGGTGGTCTAACCAAATGACCAAATAGAATGTTAAGACACCTTTCTAAGATTATGTTTGTTTTATTTTCTCATTTTCTTTTGTATCATTGTAGGACATGCAAAGTCCCAGCTTCTGTAAAACCCAATGAGTGGCCTGATGACATCACAAAGTGGCCGGTAAGTACATTGGCACCTATCTTGGCAGTAAAACACACCTCATCTGTCTGTCTCAGTAATTGTCTTTGTGCCCAATTATTCTATATACTACTTTCTGGCCAACTTGCTCATACTACAACACAATGAGGCTGGCAATCTTGATCACAATACAGCGCCATGAGGCTTGCCAACATGCTTATACTCCAGCACCGTGAGGCTGGCCAATTCGCTCATACTACAGCACCATGAGGCTGGCCAACTCGCTCATACTACAGCACCATGAGGCTGGCCAACTCGCACATACTACAGCACTAGGGGCTGGCCAACTCGCTCATATTACAACACCATGAGGCCTTCAGAGTTTCTTCTTCAGTTTTTCCTTGGTGTGTGTTTTTCCTAAATCTATAGCCAATAGTTAAAGAATTGTCTATGCATTTGAAAATGCTGTAAATTCTGTGTATGAAGGTAGTCGTCTTTTGTGTTTATTATTTACATGCAATGTTATCCCTAACATGTCCTGTTTACAGATTTGTAAAGAGGGGTTTGAAGACTCAGAGCTTCCTCACACAACATGTGACTTAACAGGCCGACCATGCTGCATAGGTATTGATGGAACGTGTAAAATAGTGAGCCAACAGTACTGTGACTTTGTGAAAGGCTATTTCCACCCAGAGGCGGCACTATGTTCACAGGTAACTCAACATGTCTTTTTGTTGTATAAGTAAATATAGATATGCTGTACATGATAAGTTAACATTGAGCAATAGGTTATAATTTACAAGAAAAGCAAAATATTTCCTTACCAGTTAACTGTAACAAATAATACCATTCTTTGTATAAAATCCTGAATTTGCTAGTAATTACCTTAGTAATTATTTATTAATTAATTCAATATTGAAAGTTGTATGCAGGCTATTCATATGCGGTACAGAAGACACATAAAAGGGTAGGGTAAGTATAGGGTAGGAGAATAAACTACTAAAAATAAGTAAAATAACTTGCAGCGTCGTCGTGTTGAATTTCATGTAGGTGTGATCCGTGGCTACCTAGCCGCTGTAAAGAGGGGCTTATAGTAGCTAGATGTTCTCATCATTCCAAAACGGCAGGGGGTTTAATGAATCATAGCATTGGGGTAACCCCTTACTCTTCTGAAAGTTGCAATGTATTCTTTTAAGTGCACATGAGCCAGATATGTACACTTGACCTCCAATTAAGTCCTTATCCGAGAAGACCCCGGCGGAGAGCGCTTGAAGCAGCGGCAATGTTATGGCTGTAGTTAGCGCCACCCCTGCCTTATTGCTCCCCACTTGACTTGTCACTTATTTGTCTTTTCCCTTTTGTAGAACCAGACATCTATTGTCCATAAAAAAAAAAAAAATGAATACTGTACAAAAAGCAATATCAAATAGACATTTGTAAAAAATATATAATATTTCTATTATTGCATTTTGGTCTTATTTTGTTTATATAGGTGGATTGTCTAAATGATGTTTGTGGGTTAATTCCATTTGGCAATAAAGAAAAACCTGATCAAATTTATCGTCTTTGGCTGTCGCTGTTTCTTCATGCTGGGTAAGTATTACTGTAATTACTTTAATTCTAGTGTTCACTAGTTTAAGCGTTATTTGTTGAAGTATAGTTTAAGTGTTGTCAGATGTTCACTTGTGTCATTGTGTTGTGTTGTTGTTGTTGTTGAAGTTCAGTATTCGTTTGTTGAAGCTTTTTAGAGTGTTTTCTTATTGAAAAGTTTTCAAAAACCACAGACACAAACCGTAAAAATCAATTTTCTTTTTTGAAATGTGATTATGTACATCAAACTCTACCTTTTCACCAACTTAGCTAAGAGTAAATTACTTAATTAGACTAATTAGACATATAGCACACATTGGGAAAATGAACTATTTTCTTAATTGAATATCATTTCATAAATTTGAAATGTATTACTATATTGTATTACTTTTTAACAAACTAAAAGTTTCTTGTTCTTTCTTTTCTTTCATTTAGTATCTTCCATTGTATATTGAGTATAATAATGCAGATGACGATTCTTCGAGATCTTGAAAAGTTAGCGGGTTGCCTTCGCATTGCTATCATATACCTTGTCAGTGGGATTGGCGGTAACTTAATGAGTGCCATCTTTATACCATACAGAGCAGAGGTACGACCATTGCCACTCATTTTATAATCTTTAAATGTATTTATAAAGAAAAATTTATTGGAGAATATTTAAAATAATTTTTTTTTTTTCCATGGAGGAACCAAAATAATTATATGATAAAAATGGGGTTTTTTTTTTTCAAGTTTTTATAAATTAATTTTATACTTTAAACATGGACTGTAGCACAGTGGTTATTATTTTTTAGTTAACCTGCATGGTGGTGGGAGGGGGTTATCCAGAATTTGGCCTTGACCAATAAAAAAAAATCTGACTGATCCACACACTGAACCTGGACAACACAACAATTATTTTGGCCTTCCTACTGTCTTTATTATTAATAATCAGTTTAATATTTTCATAACTATTCTTATATAAAAATTTATGATATAAAGTTTGGATTAATGTTAGTGAGTTATTTTATTGATAATCTAATATTAGTGAATTATAATTTAAAAATTTTGATTGGCAGGTTGGTCCAGCGGGCGCACAGTTCGGTCTGTTAGCATGTCTGGTTGTCGAGGTTCTCCAAAACTTCCAAATACTACGGAATCCAGGTTCAGCTCTTGGCAAGCTGTTATTAATAATTTCGGCGCTTTTTGTCTTAGGTCTTCTACCGTGGATCGATAACTACGCGCATTTGGGCGGCTTCATCTGCGGCACTTTACTGTCTTTCATCTTTCTACCGTACGTCTATTTTGGAGAATTTGATCGAAATCGGAAGCGGATACAAATAGTGATCTCAACAATTCTCTTACTGTTGTATTTTATATTAATGTTTATAATCTACTACCTCAAACCACTGCGAGACTGTAAGTGGTGTTCCTACTTTAACTGTGTCCCGCTAACTGAGGACTTCTGTAGCGACATGGACGTCAAACTTACTGATGAATTACATCCAACAAGATAACCTTTGGAAAAATACATACAGAAAAATTATTATATGGAATGATTTGAATTTGTCAAACACCTGATACTGGGCATGAGTAAAATAGACTGAACACATGTGTTTTAGGTATAATGCAAATGTAAGATGAACTTACAGGTAGTAGTACTGGCAAAACATTGGTGTCAATTGATCATTTTATGCAAATAATCAGGTTAAAGGTCAATGGTATCTATAAAGACCATTTTAGAATACACGTATATTTTATATACAAAATGACTTTACTAATTAAGATTACATCCATCTTTGAGGACATGCTTGACTGATAACATTCTTTATACTTTTTGCATTACTTTGTTGTTTTTGAAAATTCACAGGATTACACAATTTACTGTGTTTGTACAGTATACATATAGTTGAATATATTATATATAAGAATATAGAAAATATTGGATTTTAAAGTTCATTTTTTCAACGAGATGATAATTAGTCAAGCATGATTTTTTACTCTGATGTGGAATCATCTACAACTCTGACCAGACTATCAAATTTCCTTCGAAAACAAAACTGTTGTATGCCCATTATATAGTCATGATGTGCCTTTATATGGTCATCATGTGATGTCATCAGGAACATGTTTAGGCAAAGGTAAAAATAGATGAGCTGTACTAGTCTGATATATTAGTAACTAAAACACTAAACATGAAGTACTTAATGAAGTCTTAATTGCAATACACTATATTTGGGCATGTTACATAACAACAAATGAAGTTTGATTGTCTGAACAGGACTTAATGCATATCGATCAACCACTAGGAATCATTGAAATGCCGCTAAGACTTCTGGGAAATATCTTTACAAATGTAAAATGTGATTATATATGTATATTACACATGATTACTTTTAAACTTTTTGTACTTAACAATCTTTTTTTTTATCTTTTTTTAATTTTTTTTTTTTATTAAACTAGAATAGGTTTGCCAATATCAAGCAATAACTTACTGTTTACTTGTGTGAACTTTTTAGTTGTAAAAATATTCTATAGATTACAATGAACATAAATAATGATACTGTAATCAAAAAATTCCATGTATGATCTAGAAATGTATGAATGAGTTAAACATTTTTTGGTGCTTTAATTAATTTAATTCCTGTATGTTATTTTACTATTTTTAAAATTATAATATGATTTATTTTGCCAGAAATTATCTAAATATTAATATTTGTTATTAAAACATTTGCAATTTTTTTTCCTGCCTTAAAATTATTTTTATAACTTGTAACAGTTTAGAATGAAAGAATTACATTTTTGGATCATACAACAAATATATAGAACTACATACAGTAAGTTCCAAATTTTAAGAATTCTTATATAGTTGAACCAATATTTTGTATTCCTGTTTTAATCCAAACCGAATGGATCAAATTCACTAAATACGATTCAGGATTCTTACATGCGGATTAACTACCTAATATTTATTGCTGGACTACTTAATTAACACTCACAACTAAAGTTTTAGTTGTAACATTAATTTTTATTTTTAATAGTTTAGATCTTTTTAAAAAATTAATGTTTACATTATGCCTCATTAATTGAACAAGTGTATGTGTTACTAGACAGGTGGTGGTTGTCTGGTAAAGCCTCCAGTTGGACAGGCCAAGCCCCTTTCATTTTAGGCCACAACTTGGACCAAAAGAAATGTTGTGTTTTGGGGGTGGGAGGTAAATTTAAAAACAAAAGCATCACAGAACAGCCTAAAATGACCAAAAATTGGTAGTTGTAGACAGCAGGGGACTAAGCCCTGGACCCCCAGGGCTTCATTAATGGACCCTGCCAGATTGGACAAATCCTGGAATAGTCACTGGCTGAAAGTGGTAGATATATAAGTCAGTGCTTGGTATGACTTTATTAAAAACCTCCGTTCATAATAGCCGTCTCTGCAAGGTTGAGTACTTGTTTGCTTGCTTGAGTAATTGATTGATTGATTAAATAATTGATTGACATGTAGCAGCGTTCATCCACTGTTTTATGGAAAACAGGTATGGGAAACAGATATTAAATAATTTTTACTTTATACAGGAATGCAATATAAATATTGAATCAGCATTTTTTATGAGTGTGATGGTTATTTATTGTGCAATATTCTTATTTGATTTAGTATGCTATAATTTATTGATTATTGAAATTCTTTATATATTTAATCATGGAATATTTTTAACTGACAGTAAAAACCCTAATAACATCCATAGTTCAATCATCATTATTATCGGACAAAGTTTTTATTAAAATTATGTGCTTCATAGACAAAATTAATCTTAGCAAATTTTGATTGGTACCTTGATTTCTTTCCCACAATGCTCTGTGGTAAACCTTATTTGCATAGTGGAAGCATGTGGCATTATAGTGCTATGACTTTAGCCTTCCAGTATGGGTTCGAGTCTGAGGATTGTGACTTTTTTCAGACGTGGTATTTTATCCCATTTATATCTGTCCACCCAGGATTATAAGTAGAAACCTGGTAGAGTCAATTGCCAATGACTAAATTAATAGGGGCATAATAGTGGAGTACAAGCGAGAGCTAAGCATGTGTTCGCCAGGTTGTTCCCTAGGAGTTTGACCTGCTTTTGACCGTTTCACCCCCAAACACCTTGTGAATTGATCATGTCTATTTTTAATCAGTAATTTACAGTGGCATAACGAAGAGTTATGGGGCCTGGGGAGAGGGGGTGAGAAAATGTTGTGGGCCCCATGTCATATTTTCACTTTCGAAGTGTCCGAGGTGTGGATAATATCCCAACTAAAAGTATGACTGAAATATGCCCTTTGAGTGTTTAACCATAATTCAACTTTTTTTCCCACAAAAATTACAAATTGTGCATATATCATTCATTGTTGATGTTTTTGGTAATTGGTCATCAATCGTTTTATTTTTTTTTTAATTATAAGGTACTATTCAAACAGTAAACACTAGACCAACACTGAATTCAGACTATTCGGGGTCCCTTTCGACTGAGGGCCCAGGGCTTCGCTCCCCGAGAGCTCACAGGCTTTTCGCCACTGGTAATTCATTCATGAATTTATTCTGGCAGTTGTGTGTATTATTTATGACTTGATTGTACAGTGTTTATTTTAGTAGCATCTAATATGTACAGTATATTGTTATGTTTATAAGTTTATGGTTTGTTACGTTTTTATTTGTAATTGAAGAATGCATTTCTGGTACTAGTGCTGCATATTTTTATGGTTTGTAAATCGTTTGCACCATCTTGTAAAGCTGATTTTTGTTTTAAAGGCATTGACTGATATACAGTATTATCTGGATGCTAATCAAATGTTTTCCTTTTCTAAATTTAATTTACATCCGACAGTGGGTGTTTTTTTCACTTGCAGGTTTGGAAACGAAATTATAATCATCATTTTGCTGCTAAATTCATGAAAATTGTATTCCCTTCATAACATTTGGCACCGGAAATACATGTTGTGGTTCCATTTCCTTTAATAAATGCACTTCAGCATATTTGGTCAATGGCATTCCTTTTTAGCATGAAGAATAATATTTGATTATTAAAATACTGGCATTTTCCTTGAGGTTGAACAAAGTGAAATAGCCCCAAACATGAATAACAACTAATGAACACACGTTGAACTTGCTAAAGTCGAATCTAAAATGGCATTGACAAATGTTTTGACTTGGATAAACTTTGATTTACAGATCGTTAATGTAAAACAACAATTTGGCATGTAAAATAAGATCGACTTAGAAATTATTTGAGTTGGGCAAATTCGACTTAGGCAAGTTCAACTGTATATATTATTTGGATTATTATAGTTAGAATTAAAGCTAATTTATTCAACCACTTAAAAAGGAAAGACTTATTGTTAGTAAACTTCCATCATATCATGATACCGAAAAATATAAGAGTATCATTATCCCAGTTTTATTCTGTTTATAGTTTTCTAATGGTTGTATAACTTGTTTTACTTTAAAATTTAGAAAAAGGAAATGTTACCTAACACGAAAATGAAAGAATGAAGAAGTTGTAGGTAATGAAACATTGGTTTGGAGTGTAAAATAAGGTCTTCTACCAAAGCCAATACAGATACAGAATGCATGTTCAGGGAAAACTGAATTTGAGGTGATACTGAGAATAAAATTCTCATGCGTCATAATTAGCATGTGTCTAGTTTCTTTTATTTAAAAAATGCTGCAATTATTAAAATATAAGTAATGTCAAAGATGATTATAGAGGGAGTAAAGAGGCAACCAAATTACAGGTCGGGCAGTGTTGGGGTTAAGGTAGCATAGAGCTGTCAGATATTTCTAAATTTTCTGAAAATATATCTAAGTGAATTAAAGAAGTCAAAATGTCAATCACCTTAGGACCTTTAATTTGAAATATTGAAAACGGTACATTTTCTGCTATGTTCATTGTAAAAACCGAAAGGTCCACTGAATAATCTCAGATAAGAAAGTATAATACATACTACAAGTATTGAAATACACGCCATCGTGTTGGGATTCAATATTTCGACATTAATTATGTCATCATCAGGAATGAATGATGACATAATTCCTGATGATGACATGATTAATGTCGAAATATTGAATCCCAACACGATGGCGTGTATTTCAATACTTGGAGTATGTATTATACTTTCATTGTAAAGCTTACCAACGATACAAAACACAATGGTATTTGATGTGTGTCATGTTTTACGTGGCACTTTGCTATATTGAAATTTGGAATTTTTTTTTTTTGTAACCAATGCTTCAAAAACATTAGGGTTGTAGGAGGTCTGCACATTCAACGCTCCCAAGGGCAAGACAATGAGGACCTCCCAAGAAAACTGACATCAACTATATTACTGTACTCCGCGATTAAGTGCCCGGGCGCTTAAAATATTTTTTTGCACTTTTTAAGGGGCGCTTAATAAAACAGGGCGCTTATGAAAACAGAATGACAATGGACCTTTCCGCTAAGCCCCGCCCCTTGGATATTGTTGCTAAGGTCCCACAAGACGACAGTGTTAAAACATACGCGAACACGTGCGTTTGTGGGACAACACGTGTGTTTGTGAGACGCGCGTATTCCTAGCGCTGTTCTGATTAGTCACTTGATAAGTTTGATTGACACTCCGGAAAGGTCTATTGAGGGAGCGCTTATGGAAATAGGTGAAAATTGAGGGGGTGATTATGGGAACATGGAAAAGGGGGGTGCTTTTTGAATTTAAAAAAAAAAAGATTATGTAAAGACAAGCGAATGTTTCCAGTGCAGAAAAGGTAATCATGCAGATGAAATTAGTGGTGGTGCTGGTAGTGATGGTGGTAAGCTTGTTTAGCTATCTGCGAATTGAGATTAGCAGGTTCATTGCAGGGTTTCTTGCAAATTGAGATAAGAACGTGTTAAAGGTGCAACTTGTCGGGAAAAGAAAAAGTAAAGTAGTACTAGTCTTTCCCAGCCAATTCATTGCCAAATGTAATAAAAGTAAAGTTGGAAAGGTACGTCCAGAGAGCTCTCATGATTGGGCAGTGGATAGTAGGGTAGAACATAATTAAGTCATCCCATGGAGGAAATATATTAATATATTTCCTCCATGGTCATCCTAACTAAGCTGCGCATGTGCTGGGCGCGTTGTGCGTTACGTCTCTGCTGCGTGCGCGTCGTAAAACAAGCGCCGCCGCACGATTGATACTCCATTACTATTTTTATAATTTATTTTCATAAAGAAGGATCTCTTGTCTTTTTGACCTCGTCGACGTCTGAAAAAAATCCTTCAATTATAAATACAGTAATTAATTTGCTAACCCATGCGTATTTGGAGTTTCCACTGCCAGGTTTGTTGACCAACTCATAATATAATTATAAATTTATAATGTTTTGGTACCGATATACAAAGGCCTAGGCCTAGCCATAATCTGGTGGTGTTACGAACGAGATTTGTTTGTGCCAACACAACCTAACGTTTCGAAAAGTGCATTGCGCAGTGGGCCCTAGGCTAGAGAGGGGCCTTCACTTTTCTATTTCTCATCTGTATTTTTGTATTTTTATATATGGTTACAGTGCTGTGAGGTGAGTTTGTCGTTACTCGCGTTTTTTTTTTTTTTTAATTTTATGATTAAAACAGTACCCATTTATGTATTAGGCCTATATAGGCCTAGGCCTATGCGCTATGCCTAGGGCCTACATCTGGCTGACAAGAGAAAGAAAAAACTTTTTGAAAGTTTCTTGCTCGACAAGGGCTCAAGTTGAAATGTAACAACAATGTAGTACGAAACAAAGTAATGTATAAATAAAGCCACTAACTAACGATTATAAAAATTCACCATTTATTACTAGTTAAGTAGTAGTAGTAGGGCCTAGGCCTAAAAGTTAGGCTTCCTAGACCTGGTCAGATGATTTTACGCCAGTGATCATATAGGCCTATACTAGGTATTATAATTGACATTGTTTTGGCATTGTTTCCTTGTTTCCATAATATATAATATACAGTAATAAAAGCTATCATCAATGTTTTACAATATTATGTATGATGATGATCATACATACTCGCGTCGAATTTAAGAGAAGATAAGAGAAAAAATATTTGAACAGTATAAAAGAAAAATAATTGAACAGTATCTGGAAGAGTAGTTCTATTTTATTCATAAATTTAAGTATGAACAAGTGACACACTAACCAATGGGACGTGGACAATTTCTGAGTATAAAGGGGCACGCTTATTTTGTTGTATCAAAATAAGAAAAAAAATATATTCACATTTATATTTTGCCACCTTTTGAACAATAAACTTAACATCAATTCAGATTGTTTTCCTCTCAATCTTTAGAATTTCACACTGGTGTGCCTAGTGCATTTGTTACTTCGTATACCACAGATCCTATGTGGTATTTTACTATTAAATATCACTTTCCGATATTGACTATTATTAAACATGGGGATTTCTTGTTTTGTGTATATTTACCAACGTATCTGTTGATATCATATCATAAATGAATTATTTTTCCATTGCAAATCATTGTTATGAATTAGTTATAATTCAATTGTAACTCATTCTTAGGTCAATTAAAATTAACTAAATAAAGAATATATGTCATCATTGTACGAAAACAAACTAAAAACCCCTTAATTAAGGGGGACCATTTCACGTTTTTCGTTAGTGTCCCCTTTCGTTAGTGTCCCCTGAAAGGGGTTCAGGTACTCGCAAAACGGCAAGTGCAGTATTTTGAGATTCAGCGATTCCCACCTAGGTCTAGTCTCCCGGCCTTGCCGCTGTCCACAATATTACAATAAAACATAACTTTTGGATGTTTTCTTTCACTTTATAGACTATGGCAACGTCACCAACTTATTTTTTAGTGTGGCTTCTTGGTTGTCGGGAGAAGTCGGACAGACAAAGTCTGATAATAATTATGAAAAAAAAAATTCTGTTGAGTATAACGGCGAAATGTCGGAAACTATGATGTATTGTTATCGTTCTCTTACCACAAACCGACTTTTTCTAGCAAGAAATGAACAATAAATAAATCTATTTTTAAAATTTATATTTATTAAACTTCATCACTGCACACAAAACGATCAAAAGTAACATAAGAACAAGTAGAAAATACAACGAAATTGAAGGAATTAACAGATGTCAAGTACCCCTTTCCCCCCCCCCCCTTTTGAACAAATTACCCCCCCTTTTGAACAAATTAACGTGACATCAAACAAAATAGAGATGTGGAAAATTGCACCTAATAAGACACAATACTTAGAATTACATTAAAGATATATAAAAAGAGATGATTTATATGAAACATATGTTTTTATATTATTACAAGACAGTTAATTATTAAATTATTATTATATATTTAATTAAACTAATACATACAATAACATTTAAAAAAAAAATAGAAATATAAACATTGGACTTTGAATTCTGTACATACATACACCCACACATCCGTACTTAGCTTTACTTGCGTTATTTTTAACGTTACTGCAACGTTAAACAAAACCACCACATTAATATGTTCTTTATGATTTCAGTTTTGAGCCTTATATAGATATGGAAATATACTTATCAATCGTATTAATTGCGTGGATTGTTGATAGTTGCTACGCAACCAACCTTATTTATACATCGAAAGGTGTGATTGACCCCAACCCATATGTTGGCATGAAAAAAAATGATAGAGCTGCCGTTCACTCTCGTCGTAAACGTTCTACTGATTTTACAAGCAGTGAGGCGCAAGCTATAGTGGATAAACACAATGATTTGAGATCTAGTGTGAGCCCCGAAGCCGCAGATATGAGCTTCATGGTAAGTGCTTCTCCCTGGTAATAAGTCGAACAGTTTATGTGAATGGGTTTAATTACTCTACTGTATTATTGTTTCACCCACTTTTTAACTGAATTGGTGCTAGAAAGTTCACACAGTCAGATAATATTTTATTAAGCACAAGACTTGTGGTACTTCACTCAAAAATTTAAATAAAATGTTCAATAGCTCATTCGAATGGATTAAATAAATTATTAACTCCCAACGAGAAACATAAAAAAGTTTTCACCGATTTATACAGACATTTTACTACAAGAATACTTAAATATGCAAAAGAATAATGAAAATTTATTATTTAACTGTTTTTGTGCAAAAATTAAAGTGACCCAGTGCGAAAGGCAAATAAAGCAGTGCGAAAATCAAGTGGCGCAGGGCGAACTCAAGTTGTGGCATAAACTATTGTAGAGGAATTGTTTATCTCTCGTTTATTTTCTAATTTCTGACACAATGTTTCTATTCATTAAGAAAACAAAGACAACCCCCACCCACTCAATATCATTCCTATTAAGTAAGGATAATGTTTAAATTTGTGTTCGTAAGAATGTTACTGTCATCTTTAATATTTCTTAATGTTTAAATTAAGGTCTGGGATGAAAATTTGGCAACTTTAGCGCAACAGTGGTCGGAAGAGTGCATTTGGGATCATGGATTTCCTGAGCCAAATCTATCAAAGTTCAGCTCATATGGACAAAATTTGTGGTTAGGGAGCGGTTCGGCAGACAACCCACCTGACGGCGCCGTGGCTACGCAATCCTGGTACAACGAGCAAAGAATGTACACTTATGAAACTAGGGAGTGTACAGGTGTGTGTGACCACTATTACCAGGTAAAGGGAAACTATTAATCAACTTTAAGATGATAGGATTAACTCGAACCATTCTTCTAGTCAACATTATGTCTCATATTTACATTAAGAGCACACTGCGAGAGTAAATACCTCCGCCCACATCATAACGTTCCCCTGTGTAATATTTCCACGCATCTTTTCTTTTGAAAAAAAAGGTATTTCAAGAACGAAAAACAAATCTTCAATTCCAAAGGGATTCGAACCCAGGACCTGTGGCTTACAAAGGGAGTGGGCCTACGTCATCACCAACTAGACCACGACTTAAGCGGAAAAGAACGCAACGCGACGACGCGCGCGTATCGGATAGTTTTTAATGACGATCCGTTCAGGCGACCACCGACAATCATCAGACGGCCTCGCGTGGTATAGCGCTCAGAGTGAGTGACGTACTTGGATTCGTAGTCCGACGGTCGTACGACGCAGTGAGTGCCCGGGCTTTAGGGACAATTAATAGAATGGAGATCAAAAATACAACCAAAGATTTGATTTTTGCCCGACGACCTCAAAGGAAATCACCCGACAGGGGGTGCAAGCGGAAGGTCCAGAGGTCGTCGATGAGCGGTCCTTTGCCCCCCGGGGACACCCGCTAGTGTCGAACCTGGCATTCAATCATTATTCTTCGGACCATGATAAACCATTCTAGAATTTATAGAATTTCGGCTTTCTGAACCACGACTTTCTGTCCGGGCACCGGACCTGATCCGGAATCTATTGTAAACGTTGCTGTAATCTAAAAAATATTCACATGTTGGGGTTTGTTCAATGGTATCATAATACTGTAATTCAATTACATAAATGGTTTCTTTAATTGCATTCATTTTTCGTCCATATTCTTTTATAAAGGTTGTGTGGGCTACTTCATATTCGGTGGGATGTGGTCTATCATTTTGTGAAACTACTAACGATGGTCATAACAACGCCTGGATAATAACGTGTAATTATGGGCCTGCGTAAGTACGCTAAGTAAGCAAGAACTTTTTAAACTTAAGCCCTGTCCACACTCTCAGATTTTATTTGACAAAACCATGTGACATACCTAAATATGGTCATGATGACATCACATCATGAAAATATATAGACACAGCATATATATGAGCATACAGCAGTCTTTTTCTCAACAATTTGCTAGTCTAGACGGAGCTTAAAGATTTGACCACACTACCAAATTCTGTTTGAAAGAGATTTGCCCATATATGGGCATCATGTTGTCATATTTAACCCAAATATGGGCATACTACATTTATTTGTCACATTATATTTGATAGTATGACAGAGCTTTAGAGTTTGCAAACCTCATGAAAACTGGGTAATAAAAAGTGCACACAACCGTCAGTGGGAGTCCTACGCAGGCGTGACGTTTTTACAAACGTGAGTACGCTCTCTTATTCTATTTATACTCTTTGATAATAAGCACTTATACTTTGGTAATATTTTATAGAGGAAATTACAACAGACATCCATACATTAGTGGACCAAGCTGTACTAAGTGTTCCTCTGGTGTAGGGCAGTGCTACAACAACTTATGCCGTACGTATAATGTATTATTTGTGTCTTTAGAAGAAGGAATCAAAGAGTTATAGAACTGCAAGATGTCCGACTGGTTTCGTTGGAATGTAATCTCAAAAAATATCTCCACGAAGAGGCGTGTCCTTAAAGACTAGCTTCGAGCGAAATATTCGAATGCTAATAGGGCGCCCCTACTTTTTTTAACATTCCATTGTGTGCATACAAAATCAGGGCAGTCGGACCTCTTGCAATTCTATACTCTTTGAATGAATAAAATAATCCTAATTTGTTGGAGAGGGTATCCGGTTTTAACCTATCATCCTTCATAGGAAGTAATAAATAAGAC